CCTCACTTTTTAAACTACTTTTATCTTGACCCATAAGTTTTCTCACCTTTGCTCTTTTGATACACTCCCCCATGCCATTGGGGGTGGGGGTGGGGGTGGGAGAGAAATCTTCTGGGTGGGTGTGCTGGTTTTGACGGGTATAGAGTTAATTTTATTCACAGAAACTAGTATGGGGCTCTGTTTGTTCTGGAAACAGTGCTGATAATACAGAGATGTTTTCCTTACTGCCGAGCAGTGCTTACACAGAGTCAAGGCTTTTCTGCCTCTCCCACCCCACCAGCGAGCAGGCAGGGGGGAGCACAAGAAGTCAGGAGGGGACACAGCCAGGAGAGCTGACCCCAACTGACCCCAGGATATCCCACACCATGCGGTGTCATGCTCAGTATATAAATCTGGGGGAAGGAGTTCGGAGTGAAGCTGTTTGTCTTCCCAAGTCACCACTATGCGTATTGGATCCCGGCTGTCCTGGAGATGGCTGAACACCTGTCTGTCGATGGGAAATAGTGAGTGAATTCCTCGGTTTGCTTTGCTTGTATGTATGGCTTTCGCTTTAGCTATTAAACCCAGGAGTTTTCTAACTTTTGCCCTTCTAATTCTCTCCCCCATCCCACCTGGGGGGAGTGAGCAAGTGGCTATGTGGGGTTGAGCTGATGGTGGGTGTTAAACCATGCAATGGGCGTTTACTTGTTGGCTGGGATGAACACACCATACACTGAGCATAGGAAATAATCACGATCATACTGATGGTCAAGTTATAAATTAACCTGGAAGTTTTAGAGACTATGGCTTTTTTTTTTTTTTCCCCCACTTTTTTTTCTTTTAATCATTTACTTTACCTGAATTACCACATGGGTAGTGAAAAAAAAAAAAAAAAAGATACTTGTTTTCTTTCATATATATATATATATATATATATATATAAAATATTAAATACATAGCTCACACTGGTTTTCTCTGAACACTAAACCAGATGTAGTTGCAAGCATAATTACTCCTATCTAGACACAGGCCAAATTTAGGAAAAACTATGAGTTGGTTTAGAGGTAGGTGTCCAATATAGGGTAGACAGACTGCTACGCCAGCTGAAGCTGGGGCTGTGTCGACAACCTTGGCCAGCAGTCAATAAGCTCACACAGACAGTATGGCAGCAACCCACCTCTGGCAATATTTTAATATTTATTCATCTTTGCTTACCTATTTGGTCCAAAACTTTTCAGGCGTCTGGGTGAAATTCAGACTGCTGAGGTCAACTGCACTGATGTCAACAGAGTGAGAACACCACTGTCAGAAAACACTGCAGCAAGAATCCTAGCTTACAGACATAATTACAGCTTCAGTAGAAAGTTCATAACTATTTTTCTTCTAAGATAAGCAAACATGGTGGTTGAATTCAGAGAGAAAAGGCCATGATTTTGCAAAATGTGTCATGGTTTTCACTGCACATTTTAATTTATGCACAAAGACCTTTTAACATCAATGCTTGACAGGAGCCCACTACTCTTTCCCAACATGATAGATCTTACTCCATTTGAAGGTGCTTCATTTTCATCAGAAAAGCAGTCCCCACTGTGATGTAGGAAGCTATGCAGGTGTGCACCCTGCTTTTTCTTACACCTTTCTAGAGCAACAAAACAAAAGGCACACACTGACACACAAAAGCATCCGTGCCAGCTGCCCTGCCTGATGTGCTGCTGATTTTAACGCTTTATCATTGAATCAATGTTGCTGCTTTGAAGCTGTAGCCTGAACAAAGCATACTACTTAGTAGTCATAGCAGCTCATTTGAAAAGGATATTTTTAATAGTCAAAAAAGTGATTAAAAAAATGTGTGTGATTTGGGAAATACAGCCACAGAGACAATGCATGGGAGAACTTCAACTTAAACACATTTCAGCAGAAAATTTGCCTGCTGCTCTCCTACATACAGAAGAGCCTGTGCATACTTAAACCACAATAAAAGGATGCCACAGCACTGCCTTTACTGAGAAGCTGCTATTTTCATGCTAGGTAAGGCTCAATCTGAGTAACAGCAAGCAGAATTTTTTTTTTCCAGATAAAATAATCTGAACTACCTGGGGTGAATTTACCCACTGGCCCTGACCTTCCTGCTGCAGAGAGAAGACAGCAGCTGCATAGCTTCCATCTGAAACTAGAAATGCCTGATTTAGAGTGTTACTGCTGGTTAAACTGTGGATAGTTGGAAGCAAGGGAAGCTCAGCAGGGTCTCTCATCCCTTGTAAAACTCTTCATTTCCTTGCTCCACAGCTTTGCTTGGGGGAGCAAGAATGCCAGAACTGCACATGTTTTTCCCTTTCCATCAGTGGGGATAACAGAAAAGGCTCAGGAAGTTTTGGGACCAAGATAGACGGATGAAATGCTGAGAAGAAAAGGAAGGAGTCTTTAAAACAAAAAAAATTAAAAACATTCTCTCTGCTCTCTCTCCCTCTGGTAACACCTCACCTCCCCCTAACACCAGTCACCACATTGGCTTCTATTCTCCAATTAAATGACTCTGGAAAGAAAGCCAATGACTACAACAGAATGAAGTTTCTTACTAGCTTGTGTGATTAAGTAGGAGCCTGTTTGGTCAACTGGTGGCTTAACCTACTTTATTTTAATGAATTATCCATGAAGTGGGATACACAGAGGTGCTATGTCAACATAGTCTAAGATCATCACCACCATCATCAAAGAAGCTTTGAAATTAGTTCTAAGTGGCAGTACTTTGTGTGGAGTCTAACAAAATGAGTATAAGTACCAGCCAAAATAAACGATCATGATCTCCCCTGCAGAGAGGTGTACAAGTACATGCCTGATGCCAGTGAGGAGTGCCAGTACAGCATGCCACCACAATGTATATGAACTAACTACAAGGAAAATTATAAACTGAGATTTTTTTTTTTATTATTATTCAGAAAAACATTGAAATATGTGCACTGTGACATCTGCAGCTCAAATGATCTGCTTAGGAAATGATTCTTTTTAACAATGGAAGAACTTTGTAATCTGTTCAAGAGTAAATTTTTTTCCATAAAAATTCATCACCTAGAACTATTTTCTGTGAAATATTAAAATTAACAGATTGTAAATCTCAAAATTCAGAGCATTACTGAGACCCACGTAACATAATTACAGAATTGAGAACTGCTCTGAAGAATCAGAGGGTCTGCCTCCTGATGCTTCCAGTCATGTGCAGAAACTCTTTAGTTTTCTAGCAGTTTTGTAACATTTATTGTAGCAATGAGATTTGCTCGACAAGACCCTTTGCCTGGAACATACTTTGGATGTCCGAGGCAAACCTGACATTTCCACTTCCTATTTAATTTTTAAGTAACTACTGCTTTAAGTTCTGAGCCCAAGTTTCCTGCTCCAAGTAAACCAAATCTCTTCAGATTTTTTACTTTCATTTTCCACTTCTGCTTTTCTTTGCTGGTAAGATCACTTGGAGCTGACCCTCAGTGGCACAACAGGCTTCCTAACCCTACAGTTTCCACATTTTCTTTAAAATTGATCATCACTTCCTCTTCTACATCTGAATAAAATAAGCTTCAAGGTTATGCATTAAAATATTCTAAAAAATAGGAAAAAAAGTCTGCTCTCTTGCCGCTAGAGCAGACTTCTGATTTCAGTGCTGGAGACGAGGAGGCATCTCACATGGTTTCTGGATGAACAAAGAAACTTGGTGACTAATACGCTGTAAGAAATAGGCATTCTCCCAAGAGGGAGCCTGGGTGGAATTTCACACCACAATATCACAAATCAGAACACAAAATAACTTTCTTTACAAAGTCTCTGTGCTACTGTCATTCAGAGCACAACTGAAGACTGTAATAGGGCAAAAGGTTTCTCCCTTCATTTTCCCTCAAGCCTGCAGCTATTTAGGGCTTAAAACAAACAAACAAACAAACAAAAACAACAAAACCATACAACTTCATAACAACAGTAAACATTTCCTCATAAGGACCAGGTAATGGCCTTGCAGCAAGCAAGTAGCATGGCACATCTGCCCTAGGAAGCCCCAGAAAAGAAAGAGCTCTACAGCAAGGGCCCTTAGCAGAGAACACCAAATAATTTTTTTTATATGTGTATTTTATAATATATGCAGAACTCATATCTCTAAATGTATACATATAAATATATATAATTGTAGCCAGAAAAACCTATATACATCAGAAGGTGATCTCTGGTCCTGACACAGCTGTGTCAGAAGAACGTGCAACAAATCTGCTTTACCCATGCTATTAATTATTTTTTTATATATCTATTTTAATTTTGCATCTTCACATGTCCCCTCCTGAGCAATGGACAAAGTACTTGCAACAGTGGGATCTGTTGTTTTTGAAATAAGGGTTCAATATATGAACAGTCTGCTTGTTCATGCAGTAGCTCACAAGACACTCTTTCCTAACAGGGAATGGGACGTGCATCTACAACCACACATGTTCTGTTGTGTATGTTAGGACTTGAAAATAAAACCTAGACCACCAGTCATACCCAGAATCTGAATCTCTGAGCTAATCCCACATCTTCCCACCACAGCGTTCATCTACCTCGAGGCAGATCACAACACAGAGCACACTTCAACCACCACATGCTTTTGTAAACTTTAGTCCCTGATGAATCAATTTCCAATGAAGATTTTTTTTTTTTTTAAGTAAAAAGTCTCTAAGGAATAATGTTAAGATGTAACACCAAACAGAAGCCTACAACCCGTTCGCTGTGTTCAACCAAAACTACTTGTTGACTGAGTCAGATTCTTCGCATTCAGAGGAAGTTTTATTAAAAGGAAATTCCAAGAAACAAATTTATTTTCTCAGTTCCTCTGGCAAGATCAACTATATTCTGCTTCAACAATATTTTTTTTTTTTTAAACAAATCCTCTATTAAACTACAAACACTTGGAGTGCTCTTCTTTTCCCAGTGTGTTAATTGGACACTTCAGCTTTCCTGTGACCCTGAGGAGGGGAGAACATTCCTTTCAACCTTGCTGCTGTGTTTTTCCAATTGCACTAGCAGGCCTTTTTGCCCAGCAGCAATCCAGACAGCGCCGGCTGGTTTGGTGCAATCTGGCAGGCTGTTTTATTAACAGACAGAACAAAAAGCACAAGGAAGAGCCTGGCAGCTGTATAAAACTCCCTCCGAGCTCCAAACCCCGCAGAAGTTCACCGGCCTCAGCAAACAGCATGACCAGCCAGTCTCAGGGAATCCAGCAGCTTTTGCAGGCAGAAAAACGTGCCAAGGACAAACTGGAGGAAGCCAAAAAAAGTAAGTAGCTAGCCTGGTTTTACTGTAGTTTTCAGCTGTAAACTTCTCAGGTTGACAGTGGCTCATGAAAAACAATATTATTTCACCTGTATACATCACAGCTGTGCTGCTCCTTTCTTCTCACTTGCATTAGCACTGTGCCTTTACTACAGACAGGCACTTAACCAAACCTGAATGCTCAGAGTTTGCTTGGAACTCTCTGTGCACATGTGTGCTTGTGTGTGAGCTCACACTTGCCTTACTACATTAAACAAGATTTTCTTTGTTGTATTCATCCTGTCAGTTAGATTTACTCTTGCTTTATCTCATTGCCAATAATGTCATTACAGCCTTCCTCAGCTATTTAAACTAGAAGCTTACATGTCTCTGGCTGCCAGCTCTGCAAGACCTCTATTTTTCTTTACAGGTCTTGTATAAATTTTTCAGTGTTCCCCCTTACTTAAAAAAAATCTAGTAATGTGCCTTCTAATCTCAGCTGGGATTCAGAAAAATTTTATGAAAACAAAGGGAGAATTCAGCACAATGATAGTAACCAAAGTCATGGTACAATCACAAGTACTGTCAGTACTGTAATAGGTCATTCATCTAAGTCTTATGATACAATTATTCAACAAGTGATTAAATGTTCAATTTAAAATAACTGTCTTGTTTACTGAATGCCTAAATGTCCAGGGCAAAGCATGTATAAATATGCATTAAGAAATTCAAACATTTTTATTCTAGTCACATATAAGAAAAAATTAATAACAAATATAAAAATGAAGGTGCATGATAGAATAATTTAAATCAAATAAATAATTATCCTAGCAGAGTCCTTCCATTATCTATTTCATTCGTTTTCTGCATTCATCTCCCAGGGGTTTAATGCAAAATATGGTGACCTTACTCTCCTGAATGTAGGCACCAACCACATGAGTCACTGACCTGCATTAGCACTGAAACATTAACACTGTTTCATGGAGTTGTCTGGATTTAGCAACCCACAGCAGGACACAGTGTTGTCCTAAAGGACTCAGCTAAAATTCATGAATATGATGTTATGTGGAACAAGACTGTGATGAAGGAATATATTTTGTTTTCCAGAGAGAAATAGAAGCTAAACAAAAATAATCTGTGCAGTTTCTATACTCCTTCTACACACAAATCAGTATTGCTCTGTTTTCATTACTAGTATGACATGTTAATTTGAACAGCAGCCCATCAAAATTAAGGAGACAGGCAATACCCCTTTCCCAAGCACGTGGCCACTACTTGTGCCTTGCAGAAACAGAGGAAAAAAAATTCTCCCACCTTCATAAAACAGAAGGCTCACAAAAAAAATAAGATGTTTGGGGGTTCCTGATGCCAGCCTGAAAATAAGGAATAATTAAGAAGTGATATAACCCTTATATAGCCAAACGAAGTGCTCTGAGTGGGATGGTTCTTCCCGTCTCATGCAGGGCAGAGAAAACCCATTGTTCCACAAGGCAAGAAGCAAGAAAGCATATGACCTGGAAAGACACAGCCCCCAGTAGAGGGAGAGGAAGTTTGGTCTGAACGCAGGCTGCAGAATCAGGCTTTAGCTATGATAGCTTGATGTTGATTACCCTTTACTTTGGGGGTTGGGTTTTTGTTGTTGCTCTTTTCATTTCATTTGGCTTTGTTTTTAAAGCCAGAAAAGTCAGTTTAGCTTTTTCTAAAACAGACACTTAAAAAGAGGTTTTGTAAATTGAGGAACTCCAGAAATGAAAAGTATTATTATAACATACAAGTAATGACCAAACACGAGTGTCTTGCAGAATCCAGACATAGTTACAGGTGCATTTACCCTATTCTGCAAAAAAACACACACCCCTATCATCAGCTCAGTCCCACACACAGGGTTTTTCACAGATAAAGTATCTTCCAGACCCCTGAGTCAGAAACTTGAATCGAACCACTGCCTATACTTACTTCAACACTAATACACTGGTAGTTGTTCAGCAGCTACAGAAAAGAAGCAGCTATTAAGAGTTTTATTATCAGTAAAAATATTTAATCATTTAAACTTTTAAAACCAAACATTTTTTTGCCTTTATAAATTTTTTTAAGGAAAATAAAAAAATTCCTCATACATAAAAATGGGTGGGGGGAAAGAATACAGAGACAGACTTTTTCAGTAGCATCCATTGAAAAGGCAAGAGGCAATAATACAAATTTAAACATAAGAAAACAACTTTATAAATGTGAGGGAGGTCAAACCCAGGAATAGGCTGCCCAGAGAGGCTGTGGAGTCTCCATCCTCACCAACATCCAAAACCCACTGGATGTGGCCCTGATCAAGCTGACCTTGCCAAGCCTGCTCTGAGCAGGGAGCTGGAGCAGACCCTGGAGACCCCTTCACGCCTCAGCAGCTATGTGCGATCCCATGAAAAAAACTCAAACATTTCTAAGGATTTTATTCCTAGGTAGAGCAGATCAAGAGCAAAAAGTTTAAATAACTAATGAAGTGGCACATTCATCTACAGCCTAAAGGCTGTGGTGGATCTTTTTGTTCATGTGAAATACTGCTAACAGTTTCTGTTAAGGTGTGAACAGCAAAGCCCATGAGATCTAAAATTCACAAGATCACACAATCAAGGTCAGGCCTTAAAGTTTCTGATTTGGGTTTTTCTAAGGACTAGTCCACTCTGGATTTTGTGCTAAACCAAGCACTATAGCTAATTTAACAGAATTATACCTAGACAATCATTATTATATTCACCATTGCTAGAGGTTTTCAGTGAAGCTACAAAATAAAATTTTTTAAAATTTTCACATTGTTCTGAATTTCAATTTCCCACAGCAATGTTATTACACCACCTTGAATACCTAAATATACCAGCATAACTCAAATGCGATGGGACAAGGACAAGGGATTCTTTTAGTACCAAATCTAGTTATGCTAAGTCAGAATTACTTCAACAGTCTCTTCTCCAGGGTGATTCTGGAGTTGGATCAGCATCAGCGATTGCATAGGTTGTCTCTGAGCATAAAAACTAAGGTAAAAAGAAATACATGAAATGCAACAAATATATCCAGTGCAATCTGTTAACCTATGCACACACCATACAGTGAACAAGGTGAGGACATGCTGCTTCACCCCAGAAGATGCCAGCCCAGATCCACCTGGTACCAGTTCAGAGCAGCAGCTTCTGCTCAGGGCCTGGCACTCTGGGGATCTGGGCTGCAGGTGAAAGCAATGAACCTGTCCAGTGAGTTAATGCAGTCCTGTCCCCACTAAACTGTACATATGACCTTTGTCACTGCAAACAGTCACTGCACACCACCACTACACAAATGAGCCCAACTTTTCTATTAACATTGTAATGTGATAAGAATGAATGCCAGATTGTTCATGGGACACAACCAAGAAAAGACATTTTCAAGGAAATGTGATTAGCAAAACTGTCCTTATGCAAACTCTTCAGTGTTTTCAGTTGATACTCACATAATCAGATCAAAACATAGTGTGAACACACATAATATTGTACATAAACAGATAATGGGCCTAGGTTTTGCTGACATATGTGCAGCTGTTCATAATGAAAAAATCCACTTTAGATAACTGAAAAATTAGCAAATAAAGCTGTATTTATAGACACGCAGCAAAGCAAAAATATCATGCTAAGGCTCCTCTGTACATGCCTTTTCATACTTCTTGCTCAACACCATTTATCGTGGCTTGCAATATCTGTACTGTATCATTGGATGATGACATTTATACCTGACAAATTATGAATAGTTTGGTGGCAAGTGCACACATGCAAGGCTGAAACAAATTGGTTAAACACAAACCAGTCTGCAATCCTCTGATCTTCTATACACAGCACTGCTTTATCTATCATTTTTGCTATAAGCATAATTTGGATCCCCGAAATAAATGAGTATTGTCAGAGCCAAGATATTAATTCCTGAAAATCCTTTTGGGTAAAAAAAGGGAAACAAATGTGTCATGAACACTGGGTTTAGCAAAACTTGTTTTCCTATAGGTTTTTATATCTCGATTTGAACTTTTAGTACCTAATAAAATAAAAACTCCAATGACAGTTTTCAGGAAATCAGATTTTAAAAAATGATAATCAAAATAAGGTATTGTAAAACAGAATTATATCCATGGCACTCTCCTGGATAATGTCCAGGACACATTTCATCTACTGAAAAAGCTATACATACCAATCAGCTGCTTCTATTGTGTTTTATTAAAAGTGCAAAACAGTCTTCTCAAAATGAGCATCCCTAAATCCCATTTTGCAGACAATTTAACACTCTTGAAAATAACTGAAATGGCCCTATTTAAAGAAAAACTGAATAATTTTTGGAAACATTTTCATAAATGAAATTATTTCTGTGCATAAATTCAGGTAGAAACCTAGATATGTTTGAAAACAAAAAGTCAACTTTAGCATGGCAATTTTTGGAAAGTAAGATAACTTAGTGTTTGAGTAAATTAGAAGGCAACATTTTTGCTTTCTACTGTCTTTTTCTTGCAAGATCTAAAAAAACCCCAACAACCTAAAAAACCTCACCAATTATTTTGGATCTAACCAAAACTAGGTATTTCATTAACATCACAGAAATACCCAGAAAGAATACAGCCTTTCTCCATGCTAATAATGCCTTCCCATTTTAGGTAAGAAAATTTATTAACAGGCTGACTTGTTACAGAAAGTTGGTTAAGATTTTGCCAATTTAAAATGATGCCTAGAAGCTACCATAATCATGAACAAGAGCAGACATGGAAACCAGGCATAACACAGCTGCTTTGCTGCTCCCCATCTTCAAGGATGGGAAGGAGAGAACAAAGGGGCAGCAGCATGCCCTTTGTGGAAAAAGTCTATTCAAACTTAGAGCTTTCTGTACCTTGCCTTTATGATCCTAGATGAAATGTCACAGGGACAGGTTGGTTTGCCCATCCTCCTGCGTTTCTTGCCCCTTTTTTGCATGATCTTGGCTGAATTTCAATGCTCTACCACCCATCAGTGTGTAAGGTTTGATTTCAGCTTGTTGGTGCTCTGTGGAGAATCTCATCCAGATCACTAAAACTTTGAAAAGGCAATCTCATATTGCACAACTAAGGTAGCAGACAAGTGGTTAATAACAGACTGATTAATTAATTTTGGTTGGTCTCTAGCGAAACAGCAGGTTAAGCTCTAGTTTCTGCTTAACTCAATCAGGTGCAGCATATGCACTATCACATATGTTGGCAGTTGCCGATTCTGTCCACAACGTTGTTGAACTAGCAGTAATTTACTCACAGCTTTTCCACTTAATTAAATAGGAAGCAGCAGGTTCCTGCTGTGCCAATCCTAAAGGCATCATGGAAAAATGAAATTACTACCACCCTACAGTGACACCCTATGTATAATGCTTACTCCAGTGCACTGTCAAGAGCTGACATGTATGTATATATATACTTTTTGGTTCACTAGCTACATTGTCAGAGGCAAACGAACTGTTGTTTTACAGTTAATCTCTTTCCATTTTGTGCATTTTAAATGGATCTATCTATCTGGTGGCCATATATGCAACATATTTACTACAGATGGCCCCCCAGATGGAATTTGAAATTAAAATCCCACTGATTTTGAAATAATTTAATTTGCTATAGAGATTCAGTTCCTCAGCTGGTGAAATTGGCAGAGCTTCATTGTAGTCACTCCCCCGACTTCCAGCTCCATAGAATCACCTCCCAGCTCTCCTCCTAGAGGAAAATGCTATAAAAGGCTGATCAGCTCCACATTTGGAGAGGGGAAGAAAAGGAAACTTCAAAATACAGACCTAGTTCCAAATTTTGTTGTCCAGACTGATGTCAGGGTCTTACACAAATCTGTCAGTTCACACATACCAGTCCCAAGACTTCATACAGTGAGTAGCAGAAGCTGAAGGAATCAGCCCTTATCAAACAAACACAAACTCTGTAAAAGTACATGCTAGGTTTTTAACTGCCTCTCTGCACTTTATACATAAGCACAGTTCCTCAGTGGCAGAAGGACTCTGAGAAATACAATTAACTACACAAGAGAGCACTGCACTGATGAACTGAGTCAGTAAAGCTATCTAGTTCCTCACCAGGTAGCTCCTTCCTATGAAAAGCCTTTATACAATCACACACCCCAGGTCCAAGAGTAAGCACACCCATGAAAAAATTAAACATTCCAGGAATCGAAAGTTTAAAAGAAAATTCACCTTTCAGTCATCTCTAGGCTTCCATTCACCCATCTGCAGATAATGACTTCAGAATAAGCCATCAACTGGGCAAACAATCTACTGCTGGATCAGGTATTTTACCCAGGCATTTGTTGAAATTTCAGTTGTATTAGATACAACAGTCTTTCCCCTAAGATTCAGCTTCCTTATTGTGCCATACTCAGTGGAAGCAGATTGCTATATGCCACACCTGATAAGGCTTCAGAAGCCCAGCACGGGTGTAACCAATCCAATGTAGCAGCCTGGAGAAAATAAATCAGAAATACTAATGCAGATCTTTCTAGCCTAGTTGGAGAATGTTCCTTAGGGTTTCAGAAAAGGCATTGGGGTTTTTTTTCAACTTTTATGCTTGAATTTAAAGATTTAAAAAAAAAAAAAAAAGTACAACAAACAAACCTTACAAAAGTATTCATATTGATTAGTGATGTTAAGTAGGTAGTTACAATAAATAAGTAAATAAATGGATGTTTCATGCATCAGATCAAGATGCCTTTTTCAGTTGCCTAGACTCCACACTCTCATTCTTGTGATATCCTAATTTAAGCAACTAAGCAATAGCTTTTTCAGCCATCAAAGGCATTTCTCTGGTTATGAAAAGGGAGCAAGTTTACCCCCTCCTAGTCCTAAAATTCTAGCTGTACAGTAGAAAGAGACCCTAAAAATCAGCATTAGCCCATGTATCTTAAATATATCAAATTTCAATTCAAGAGGTTTGCAGCTCCATCATTTAGAAAGTGACTTTTTTTCTCACAAAGCAGTGTAGCAGAGCCCTATGGACATCTATGAAACTTTACCAACTTTATACAAAACAGGCAGGCAGAGATGCATTACTGTGGAATGGTTATACCATGTTCAAAATGCTTGTTTCATGTAAAAACTTAAGCATCCCATTCCCATCAAACCTTTTACTCATATCCTTTACATAACATCCCTGCTAGACCCAGGAACTACCTCATGTCCAGTCCTGCATTGATTTAGGTGGGCTTGCTTTGACAAACCCTCAGCATTTTACCTAAGACTATTCTCAGTGAACAAATTCAAGTATGTAAACAAGCCTGTTCAGGAGGAAGGCCCTAGTTTCCACTACAGCCTAAAATGCCACCTTACAGATCACCTTCCTCTTTAAAAAGTTAAAAAAAAAAAAAAAAGGACTTTTTAATCACTTTCATATTTTCTATGAATTGGTAGAAAATACCATTGACCTCCTTTTTCTTTTATTCACTCATCTCTGCTTTAACAAATGTTAGAGGTAAAGGATGGGGGAGTAGAGGACAAAGCCTGAAGGTTGCAACTTAGTTCAGTAGTGGTTAAGACGTATCTTGCAGTTCTTTGGAAATCTGCCAGCTCTAAGCAGAATCCAGTTGGTGTGGGATGAAGGGATGCTGGCAACCAATCAATACAGCAAATCTTACAGAATAACATCTTTTCCCATCAGTGACAACTAAAATCTGTTATCTGGCTGCTACTATTGATGATAAAGGAAAGACAGATATTTATTTAAACACCAAGCTGTGATTAAAAAAAAAAAAAAAAAAATGAGAAAATGTGCAGTTGCAAGAAGACTTCTGTTGTTAGCAAACCAACAAGCTTTTCATTTGATGTGTGCTTTCACACAGAGAGTTGGTCTCAGAAGATGGGTACTTGTGTGACCGGCTTTCAATCAAAAAGTACCCTACCTAAATCACTTTGGCTCTTCTGACCGTTTTTGTGCAAATAAAGCTACTGTTGACTTTGTTCAAAGCTTTGTCCGTTTTTCTATGCCATGTAAAATACCTCTGATTTAGAGAGATCTCTGTTTTGGGATGATACAGTGACAAATGTGAAGTAAATCCCTGTTTTTTCCCCCATTAGGAAAGGGAAAGAGGCTGAAACAGGCCAAAGAAGAAGCCATAGCAGAGATAGACCACTACAGGTTACAGAGGGAGAAGGAATTTAGGAACAAACAAACAAATGTAAGTAGGAAACTTGCATATGTTCTTCTGTTGTGTCAGTCTGCTCAATGGTAAAACAAATTGCTTCAGTGTTACATGGAGACGTCTGCAAACCAATATGATCATACTGATTAAACACAGAAATATCACCTGTGATGTGTATAGACTTCATTTTAACTTCTTCACAGGCTCTAAATGCATTTGTAGAAAGTATTGTGGACTTTAACCACTGTAATTGTCTATATTCTGTATTTGGTTCATGCTTGTCCATTGAAAATGTATCTCCCTTAAGGTAAAATATCTTTGGGTCCTCTTTCTTTAACTCCAGGCAGACATCATTCCTGTCTTGAAACTGGAGGTTTCAGTAAGGTGGACGTTTCAGTAAAAGCAAAGATTTAAAATCTTCCTTTCTATTTCAGTTCCACTTTAGCTGACTTTTTTCACTGCACACAAGACTGCATCTTTGATGAAGTGAAATCACCAAACAGTTTTTCACTATGTCTGGCTGATATTTTCATGTCTGAATTATAGAACTTTTTATACATTTATGCCAGCTTGCAGTTTTCTTTAGTATTTTCATGAAGGTTCACAAAGCGTTCACTTTTTACTTGGTGACCTTCCTCACATTTTTGTTCTTGTTTTTTCCCCTGCTTGTTTTGTGCAAAGGCAAGGAAACTACATGTGCAAAAGCAGCCACAAAAAAAAAGCCAAAGAGGTCAAATAAAAACTGCTTTACAAACATGTCATTTCAGTCACACTTCACATAAAACCTTTTACAGCAGAGATCACAAGCCTTAGGAACAGATACATACACAGAGTCTCTATCATACACTGCCAGCCCCCAGACACACTGTCACACAGACAGGCCGGGTGAAATTGTCTCATATGTACAATTTCAGATGTTTACTGACACTAAAGTAAAAACACCTCTAAAATTTGTTCACCTCTCAGTCAAGCCAGACTTCGTGTTTTAGGTCTAAAATAGCAGAAGAGAAAAGATGTTGCTTTGGTGTGAATTCAATTTTTTCATGACAAAATTAAACCTGCAGGGGAAGGTCACTGTTTGTCAACTGAATATTTCACACAAGCAGGACAGAGCACATATTGCTCCTCAAATGACAGCATGTTGCACAAGATCATTGCAGTCCTCCTTCACGTTCCCTGACCCCATTATGTCGAACATTTATCTACCCAGACAAATGTCATCATTATTAACCTGTGCCTGGAAGGCAGTCAGGAGTTCCAGCTAAACCAGTGCAGGGGGAATTCTAATGCCCAGTTCAGTTTTACTGGCTCAGGTATTCAGACACAAGTGTTTTTAATTCTTTGTCACAGTTTCATTTAATGATATTCCTCTTCTTACTTTGTGTTCTGTATCCAAAATGGGGTAAATTTTCTCATACTATGAGATGTTCCGCATCAGTCCAGAATGAACAACAGCAGCAACAGAAAAGAACAATTAATTTGAGGTTAGAGTGACAATACGCAAGATCTTTTTTCAAAATATAAAAATTTAAGCCCAGATCTCAAACCAGTTTTGGTAGTGTTCATGGTGTTTGTACTCAGGGTCTGAGATCATCGAACTCTGTAGATGTGAGGTCTAATTCTGAATTTTCTTCCAATTCAGTGTAGCATTTTAGCAACTCTAGAATGACATTAGCATAAAACCAGTATGGGTAAAACAAGGGACAGATCTTCAAGGTCAGCAGAAATCATAGACTAAGCAGGGCATTGTCTGCAAATCTGAAAGGAAAAGGTCCTCAAATTCAGAAGCAGAAAAAGGGGGGGCAAATATGTAGAAGAGTAAGAATCTACTGTCTCAAGTTACAGTATTAACATGAACGGACAGAGCAAGTTCCCAGTCTACAGAGGCTATTCTTAAAATTATAATACTTTTCTTGATGTTTTTCAAAAGTATTTAGTAGTTAGATAACATGTAACCATCTGGGATCTCTAGAAAGATATTTTTCCCAGTGGACAAAATCAGCTTCATAAATCTGGTCTAAGCTGTACAATCTTTCCCACATGAGACCATTATAACTTGTCTAAAAGCTAAAATAAAATGCCAGCTAAAAATAGCTACTATAGAAAACGATAATTTTTTCCTGATATTTACAATTATGTCTACATCCTGTATTCTTCCAAATTGGAAGTTGTTTTACATCTGGATTACAGATAAGCTTCTTACTATGTTGCCACGTAGTGATAAGTAGAATTGGAACGGTGATATGTGCAACAGATTTTAACTTAGTTGCTTTTCCATCTTTTAAGGACTAAGTTGGGCTGCAATCACAAGGAAAATAAAGCTAATGACTCGTCCCTTGGTTTTGGTCATCCACTAGGTATCCCAGTAACAGCACAGGTTAGCTTCAGCTGCTAGTCCACCCCAGAGAACCATGGTAGGAACAAGAAGAATATGTTATTTATTCCTTTCTTACTCTGTTAGTGTGAAGAAATGTTTTCTGTTCTCCCTGGTGGAATTCTTTAGCTGGAAACCAATTTCTCTGCTGGTATCTGAAGGACATTTCCATGAGGCAAGAATTCAAAGGATGTTGGGGCAGTTGGGGGAGGAGGGAGCAAAGTCAGATTTGGAACACGTACATCTGTTTATAACATAACCTTGCTAAAATGATCAGTGAGTCAATTAAATTCTAAGCAAATGTCCTGATATTAACTGTGCCAGAAGCTGTCTGGTATTTCGCCAGATAAGAAAATGTAACATTAAAAGACCTTGTCTGAGGCCTGTAGAGGGTTATACATCACTCACTGCTGAAGATATTTCAAGTACTCTGAAACTGTAATTATGCATTTTCAGGAAGGCTTTCTCATGTTTTGCTCCTAAGCCATACTCACATGCATTCTCAGTAACGCCAAGCAAAGCACACTGGTGATAGACCTTAGTTGACTAGTCATTAAAATAGAAAACAAATTGAGTGCTACAAAAGACAAAACATGTACAATGTTGTTCCCACAGTGAGCTGGGAAAGTTTCATTACATGGGGAGATACCCATTGTTAACGAGCTTATGAAAATTCCCTTTAATCTTGTTTTTTGTGTGTACAGTTCAACATAGATCATACCCTTACTGTTAGAAAGCACTGCAACATGTTTGCATTATGTTTATGATAGATGATGTAAAAAAGTACAATAAACATAGCCATATATTACCCTTTATTTTGCTTAGAGGACTTCTTCTTTTCAGGTAATGGGCTCCCAAGGTAACCTCTCTGCTAAAATAGAAGAGCAAACAACAGAAACCATCCGAAAACTCACTAGCAGCTACCACAAGAACATGGAGAGCATGATGAAAAAGCTTTTGAGCATGATATGTGACATCAACCCCGAAGTTCACCCAAACTTCAGACACGCAGTTTAAGATCCATTGATGTGCTGGAGAAGGATGTTTGTTTGTAAAAAGTAGCCTTCTTTCTTGATAAGTATAAATATTTCCTCATTTATTGTTTCTGTATGTGAGAAAAAAAAGAACACTAAAGCCAAAATCACACAGTTCTACGTAGGCTTTTAATGTGACAAGAATTCTACAGGTTTTCACAAGCATTTGTTGGAATATTGCTTCCTGTTGGTAGTTAAGTCACTTAGATGGGGGCAAGTCAACAACAACATAATAAATGATTATTTGAAACCAGCAGCTTTTCAGTGGGAGTCTTTTCTCTTATAAAATGTTCTGTACTAGGATGTGGTGTTGCACAAAGTCTGTTTATCCCAATCTTTACTGTACTTCAAGTCCCATGAAATAGAATACCACAAAAACTTAAAATTAAGCATTTCTGTTTTCCTGTGACACACAGAGTGGTCAGGTTGTGGAACACATAGGAACTCTGTAACTTTTGGTCAAAAAGAATAGGTCAAAACATTTTCAATTTTTGTATGTTAAGTTAAAGCAAAATATAGCTGACTTGTACAGAACTCTCAAAATCCATACGCAAGGTATTGTCCTGTTGTTTAACTACATGACAAACTTTATATAGCTCTGTTAAATGTGAAAAATGAGAACAGAAGTAATCATTATTTATGAAATTGCTTTCCTTCAAGGTGTAGACTAGCACATCTATCATGATCTATACAGTTACACTGAAAGCAAAGGAATCCATGGGCTCAAACTACACTAAATGGTACCTGAATCCAGGTTGTTCACAGAAATCACGTCAGTTAGAACCCACTTCTGTTACCCTAAGTGACCTTGAGTAATATTTCCCTCTGCAATGGCATGGGTTTCCCTTGGAATAAATTCTACTGAAGTTAGGAAAATACAATATGATGTGGTGCTTTCAAGGTGCAGCCCGTTAAATCTGATTGGAGGCATTGATGAAGTGGGGGCCTGGCACACACCTGCATCAAGAAACCCCTTAATGCCTTGTCTCCACTACAAAATTACACTGAATTAGAAAAGAAGCTTGAGAAATTGCAGTGACTAGCAAACAATAGCCATGATTTTCAGTCCACATAGACACAGACAAATCATTTCAATTTCACAGCAGCTAGTCATAGGCAATCTTCTGTTCCAGTGAGGTTTACACAGCTGACATGCTGTCATGTGTAAAATGACCATAAAGATGTAGTCAACTTAATGTCAGCAAACATGACTCCTCAAGGCTGTGCCTGGATGCTACATAATCTCCAAGCCCTGATTGTTAGAATCTCCTGTGCTTGATTATATTCTCTGGGGATGCAAGGATGCCGAGTAGTGGGAAAGAGACTAGAAATCCTCCTGACATCAGCTGAAAGGCTCATTTATTTAGGAGTGCTTTGCTTTGAATCAAGTTGTGATAGGCTTTGACTAACTGAGGGGTTGAAGGAACTCCAGTCTCAGCCTAGGCACATGAGCCAAGGCAGGCACCCTCCTGCATGGCATGGGGCAGTCCGGATTGCCTCACTGCCTAGGGCACAGGCCTCCACTTTGGGTTATGGCTCCAGTCCCAGTGTAGTGCTCAATCGTGAAGCATGTATCTTCTGTGAACTTAGTCAGTCCCTAAGGGGGAACACCAATCTCTCACAATGACTCACTGCAGTGTTCAGGACTGCTCCCCTTTCCCTTCTGGGCTACCTCAGCACTCTTTCCACCAGTTCTCACTTCTATACATACAGAAGTGTTGCAGGTTCAGCTGCGGAACTGAAGCAATGTGGTGTCCGTTGACAGCTGTAGGGGATAACAACACACATCCCTGTAAGGCAAGAGCAGAATTGTCACCACGTGGTGGGCAGCAAACCAGGAGGCCAGCAACCCAGATTACATGAAACAAAGCTTTGTCTTTCTGCACTGACCTGCTTCTTTTTATGACATTCCCCCTTTCCTTCATTCTTGCCAAAATCTGTCTTCTGTCAACAACTGTTTCTCTTGCAAAGCCTCTGCCCTCCATTCAAGTCTAATCTCTACCCTTCTGGTCCTAACAGCCACAACACATCTCTTATTCAAATCTCCTTTAAAATACATTATCAAAGGAATACATCCCTCTTGATAAAAGCCCAAGCAGTGGTGGGGGACAGCAGAAGCCACCAGCAGCATGGATGAGCGCTGTCTGCAGTTGTGCCATCCCTCATGCAGTGACACTGCACTGCAATCATGGCAATGCCCTGCCTATACCCTTGCTATCACCTGCATACCTGAGATATAAAGTGGGTCTTAAGTACTCAAACGTTCTGATCATGATTATTTTCTTGAACTGTGGCCAAAATGAAGAGCTACTGCTCATGAAAAAGGAATTAATTTGTTATGATTAGCTCTTTGATCTTGAGAGATTTAACCTGAGAGCTTTGAGCACTCTGCATTTGCTCTCTTCTACATTCACTCCTACTTTTGAACAGGCAAAGGGTGGTTATATCATCACTTTTAGCTGTACAGAGATAAAGGCCAAACTAGACTTCATATAATTTGGCAAGATACTGTTTTTTTTAAATGAAGAGCTTAAAGTCCCAGATGTATCAATGGAATATTGAGATGCCAAGAAAATGCTTCCTGAATTTATAAAGTGCACAAAATGTCTTATGTGTGACATTCAGGATAATGGCAAATAATCATTCCAAGCAAAAGAAAAATAAATAATAGAAGCATGGAGGTTTAATTTCAAAACACTTTTGAACACATTAGAAAACATAAAAATGGTTAATCTGTATTAGCAGTTACCTACCACAGATGATTACAAATGCCCTGCCATCTTCTGGGCAGTATCCCCAGACCCCAGCTCTCACAGTGCCCTGACACTCTATTACCTAATATGTACCAATGCAGTTGCCAATTAAAATGGCAACACCTCACATATGACAACACAAACAAATTTAAGAAATAAAAAACTGCATATAGATAGCATTTATGCCTGTGTAAATATATAATTTTTTCATAAATACCTCTGAAATCAGGGTCTTAGCAAACACCTGAATTGCTCCCTGTGAAGGTTTCCCTCTCTCCAGCCATACTCTTCCTTTGGAAGCAGTGGTTACCTAACCATGACATCATTTCAAACAGCAGGATTTTCTTCACATGATTGGAAGGCAAACTCTGTAAAGGAATAATTATCCTTCCCCTGTCAGCAATAACTGTGCATAGCAACAGTGATTAGCACTTTCAGTATTTCAATTAGTATCTTCTTATCAGTAAATCAGTAATCAATAAAATGAATGGAGCTGATTCAAGGTCTATGTCTGATCCCATCAAAATCAGCCGAAAAACACCCAAAGTGGGAGATATTAGGACTGAAACAACAAATTTGGGGATTTCCTAGACTGGCTGAATTCTACACTGGCTTGCAAGAGGGCATTAAGAAGGCTTTTGCTGTCTGAAAAAGAAAAGCTGTATTATGCAAGAACTTCTAAATTCACTGATTATAAAGTGCCTTGAACAATAAGTAGTGGAAAAGGTCAGACCCGTGGAATGTGTGAGAACTGTTTTATACAACTCATGACATGGTTTGGGGTGAATTTCTCTGGCTGTTTTGTTATATGTGAGGATGTAGTGATGTGATGCCCATTCATGGGTGATGAGGGAAGATCTCTGAACTCTTACAGGTAAACCAGAATATCTTTCAAGTCAAAGTAAAACGGAACACGCATGAAGAATTAATACCATGCTCTATGTAGAGACTTTTTACTGACTTTCCCATTAACTTCTGAAGAGTTTGGAAGCTGAGATTTGGGAAGTCAAAACCAGATGTTAATCTATTACACAAATTATGTTATTAAACAAAATCAGATTTCATTCCTTGTATATAGTTGCATCAATTATTTTTCCATATTAAAGTATACTTGGAAGTTCATACAATCTGTAAATGATCTTATGTAAGACATAAGTATATCTGTGAAGCTCTTTACAGAACAAAATATTTTTTCCCTGACTTAAAAGGTTTTGTATTTTAAGGGCTGTAAGCAATGTCTCCTTATAAGATGGGGCAAGATGACCTGCTGTTGAAGAACTCAGGAACTACAACAGGACAGGTGACAACAGGCTGCCATGACATACAATCACAGGAGATGTGAACCTGCAGATACGTACCTTCACAAGCAGCCTTGCCCAAAAGCATCCTTAACTTCAGGCAAAGCAGGAAAGACCTCTGTGTGTAAGGATTTATTGAGCATCCCTGCAGCAAGGGGTTGTGTTGAACTCTGGGTACATACCTAGGCAGGTTGAGACTTCAGGCTGAGTCTGGGGATGAAATATAAACATGATTTTAGGCTACTAAGTGATACCTTCCAACATTTGCAGTGGCATTGGCTATTTGCTATACTGACAGGCAGGTCATACTGTCATCAATTAAATGCATAGCTATTGTGAAATAGTAACAGTTCTTAAAAAAGAATGAACTTTGCCCCTGTGGTCCACTTAATGGGAAGACATTACCTTCGACTGGAATTCCTCCTAACAAAGATTGTATGAGAAAGTGCTGCATCTTTCAACTATGGATTTGTTTTTTCTCAGTGTGCAAACTAATCAAATGTTATGTAGACACAATTATTCTTCATTCCCAGGCACCTGTCAGGTTCCTGCTCTAGGATGTTCTCACCACAGAATGGTACCTGTGTGGCATCTCATCCTCACATATCCTGGGGCAAAAAACGTTCCCTGACTGTCCAACAACTGAATGGGGAGCCAGGTGCTACTGAAAATAAACATAAGAGAAGGAAAGGATACCGGACAAAGATTTTGGGGTGAGAGCAGCAATTCCAGTTCTTTTCTGTTCCAGGAACCCACCACTGGCATGTGTTGATTAAGTAGGAAACTTGAATGTTACGTAAAGTTATGTTCTGCTTCATGTGTACAATACATATACTTGAAAATAATTTCCTCCAGTTCATCACAGAAAGAGAGGAAACGCCTGTTACACAATACTCAAGTGTCATATATTCCTGCCAGGTTCAGAGTGGCCTGTCCTTCACAGATTTGATTATTCCGCATTTTATGATAGTATAAGGCACTTCAAACCCTGAGTCTTCCCTGAGGAATGTTAACGCTTGTTAGAAGTACATGACCCAACCAGTATTACTACAAAACACTTGGAAAATGTTACATCGGAGTACTATTAATACACTCTATTGCACTTACAGGACATGACTGCATGTGGAAAATCTGATGACTTGCAAGTTTATTAACTTACCGAGATTCCTCCTTTTATGAAAGGATATCTCATAAAAGGATTCCTTCTTTTATGAAAGCATATCTTCCATAAAAGAAAGATATGCCACAACTGAATTACCTGACCCAGGGTGATTCCTGAAAGTCCCTCTTGCCCCAGATACGCAGTTTATTTACAGATACATCAGATTCCAACACGCTACCAAATTTCCATATCACTTTTGGAAATAGAGGCATTTTGAGTAGAGCTGTGCTCCAAAACCTGCTAGTTTGGTTAAAAACAAGCTTTCCATGAAATTTCATGCCAGAAGAATTTGCTATTAAATAGACTTTGCTTTAAGAAATACCGTATTTATAATTCAATTGACTTGTAACAAACCAAATAGCATAAATATCAATATAAAACAGATCAGCAACCTAATTTGTATAGCCTCCTGTATATATTTCATATAAATATTTATTTTACAACCCTGTGGCACTGATTTATTGTTGAAAATAGACAGATAGATAAAACACATATATAACAAACATATTTTAATTATGCATGTGTCACTGTGGAAAATAAATGTAGCATTTTGCAGCAGTCCTCTTTCCATTCAAACTTACTTGTGGGAAAAAGTGCAAATACATGAGCAATTGGGATAATATATACCTGTGCTTAATATTAAGCAAAGGTGAAGTGTGGTGGCGGTTCAGAGAGCAGAAGTGAGAACCACCAGAAAGTACAGGCTGCCAGGGCACTGTGGGTGCTGGAAATTGCTCCTACTGTGCATTTTGAGCCACGTGTCTTCTCTGTGCCTGGCAGCTGGCCCCGCTCTTCTACCACCCCAGGCACATATGCCAGGACTCTCTAATAACCTCAGGAGCTACTTGGTAACCTATTTCATAAACCTGGCTCCTCACGCATCAGGAGGATGCCTTCTACCTCTTACTCATGGTCTCCCAGATGGTAGCAGTAGTGAAAAACATTTAATAAATGAAATAACTGTGTCTTATATCAGATTAACACTTTGTAACAACATATTTTCTACTAGCAGTTTCAAGGACAAAACCCAGCATTGTTTCCTATTAACACACAACTGTTCTGTCTGCATGTGCTATGGGAAATATTTCTTGTGGCACAGGCTGCCAAACCTGTTCGGTATATTTTCCCTAATGGATTTTCCATTCAGCTCTGG